ACCCTTATTTCTATGACATTGTTCAACAAGAAAAATGTTTCATATAAAAAAAACCTTCCATATTATAGATTACAAAAGTTCATTGAATGAAAAGTTCAAACATGAAAAGTGTCACTGAAAACAAAAAGTGAATAAAGATACAAATTTTTCTTCACAGTCACACCTTCCCCTATATTACCCCTAGCACCACTGATCTGTTCTCCATCACTATAATTTTGCCATTTTGAGAATGTTTTATATAAACAAAAAGATACAATACATAGCTGTTTGAGATTGGCTTTTTTTCATTCAGTGTAATAGACTTGAGATTCACTCAAGTTGTAGTATGTAATAATAGTTTGTTCCTTTTTATTGCTGAGTAGTATTCCCTTATATGAATGTAGCATGGTTTATTTATTCACCAACTGAAGGACATCTGGGTTGTTTCCAGTTTGGGGCTATCACAAATACAGCTTATATGAACATTTATGTATATGTCTTTCTGTGAATGTACATTTTCATTTCTCTTGAGTAAATATCCAGTAGTTGGGTTACTGGGTTGTATGGTAAGTATATAAACTTTATGAGAAACTGCCAAACTATTTTTTAGAGTGGCTGTACCATTTTACATTCCCACCAGCAATGTAAGGAAGATCCAGTTGCTCTGCACTGTCAGCACTTGGTATCATCAGTATTTTTTATTTCAGCCATTCTAACAGGTGTGGAACAATAACTCACTGAGGTGTCAATTTGTATTTATCTAATGGCCAATGATGTTGAACTATAATGTTTTACACTTACATGATGTTTTGCATTTTTACAAATAATGTTTTAAACATCTCAATTAATTCCCACAAGTACAGTGTGGTGTATTTCAAGTAATAAAAAGCCGATATGTAAGTCTAGAAAAAATAGTTAATGTAATTACACCAATGCAGAATCAAAACAATTTAAAACTTGGGGCCAGCCTGTGGCTCACTTGGGAGAGTGTGGTGCTGACAACACCAAGTCAAGGGTTAAGATCCCCTTACTGGTCATCTTAAAAAAAATAAATAAATAAAACTCAGAGGAGTAATTTCATGGAGGTAATTTAGTCAAACTTCCCCATTTTACAGGGAACTGAGATCCAGAGAGGTTAAACGACTTCTCACACAGCTGGAATCATACCAAAAACCACACTTCTGATGCTTGAATCTTTTCTATAATGTCCTATCGAATAGGTGACAATTTATGCTTGAATTCTTCAGATGACTGGGAAGCCACTCATTTCTTGCCATGTTCTTTTAGGAAGTGCTTTCTCACATTGAGCTGAAATGATCTACAAACAAGTGAACAAATTGCAAGTATTTTGATATTGAGCTGAAATAGTTTACTATAGCTTCTGCTGATGAGTCAAGTTCCATCCTCTGAGATCTTCCAGTGGAAATGTGATCCTTTTTCCACATGGCAGGACTTCAGATACTGGATAACAGTCATCATAATCTCACACATACATTCCAGGCTAAACACTGACATTTTCCTTCACCCATTCCTAAGGTAAGCTTCTTTACCATCCTGCTTGCTTTTATGTAAACCAGTTCTAGATTTCTTATAGTGCAAATAATGAACAAGCTATTTCTAGTAATATAGATAGAGTCTATGCATTTTCTAATTATACATATCCAGCGCAGGAAATAATGAATTTCCCTTGCCTTTCACTTTGTATATCATGAATATTTCCTCATATTATTAAAAAAGAAATTATAAATGAATTTTTTAAAATTTAAGCTGAATGTTTTATTTTTAAATTGCATTAATTTTTTAATGTGTTACATGCACATGGTACAAAATTCAAAACGTCAAAGAAGGCTTACAGTGGAAAGTCATGATTCCCAGTTTTCGAGTTGAATATAATATGCTATGCTATGCTATAATAGATATGATAGGATATAATATTTCAGACATCCCTTTTTTAGATATGCAATTCTTTATGATTATGACATTCTATCACATGGCTGTACTATATCTTTTTAATTATTCATCTTAAATTTTTTGCTATTATAAATAATGCAATTATAAAATTCCTTATATATAACTTTATGTATATATTTGATTATTTCTTAAAGTATTTCCCTAGAAGAAAACTATTGCATCAAATAGTATGACTTGTATATAAGAGTTTTCCACAGAATTACCATTTTATGTTTGCACCAGCAGTATATGTGTCCATTTGTGGCAAATATTATTTTATCCAGCTTATTAAACTCCTAAAGGTGCTTCATACATGTTAGTGCCTGTACATCTCATACAATTAAATGTAGCTAACTTTTTTTTTAACTTTTAGTAAATATAATGGCTTACAGTTAACATTTATGTTATATTTTATCTCTTTGTAAGTCTGTTTCACTCACCAGACTTTAAACTCCTATGGTCCAAGGACAATATCATAATCATCATTCTAAAGACTAACATAGATACTTACCTAGAGTAGATATTCCATAAATTTGTGATATCTAAATTAGTGAATAAATGAAAAAGTTTACTAGTTTGTTAGACTCTGTCTATATTGTTATACACTCTCAAAATTTTATCAATTCTAATTATGACCATGTAGAATTTAGCCCAGAGTCAACATCTAGCTGTTCTAAAGTTTGGAAAATACCTTATCTTTCCCAAATTTTCACAGGTAAAAATTTGATATGTATGGATCCTATACCTTCATTCAAGTCAATGAAACCCAGTGTTGACCCAGATAGAGACTACGGATCTACTCTAAAAACATCTGGACAGGCTGACTGCCATCCAGTAGTCAGGACCCTTTGGATGCTAAGTCACTCTCTGAAGGTACTATCATCTAGCCCTTTCCTCCACCCACAACTTACAAGTAAATGATGAAAAATGTCAATAATACCTCTTTGGCCCAATAAATATTATCTACTGCATTCAGTGGTATACTAACCTAGTAATCTTGTCAGGAAGAAAATTAAATTAGACTGAAATATATTACTGTGGGTATATCCATGCTGTATTGGATTGATTGCTGCTTTCTGTTATAGCTGGTCCCAGAACTTTCTTTAATAATTTCTTGTAGATTCTTGTGTAGGATCAATATTTTCCTGGCTGGGGATTAGAGGTGTTAGGAAATCTTAGTTGAATGAATAAAGTCCCAGTCAAATAAATTGAAGGGAGGGTTTTCAGTGATTCGGATGTCCATTTTATATCATTGGAACTCCTTTAGTTGTCCATGATCCTTTTTACATATCTGACGGTTTGTGACTACTTGGGACTATTGAAAAGGTACTTTTTCCTATGAGAAGTTTGGATAGGATTGAGTAAAGTATCTACATACAGACACCTGTTACTCCTGCTACAGATCAAGGAGGTGAGGAGTGGGAAACATCAAACAGAGGCTCCCTCTGATCACATGAAATACTCTTTGGGGGACCTTTGGGTATTGGCTTGGCTGCCATATGCTTTCCTGGTTCTAGTAATGTATAGTAACTATGTCAGGTCTTTTTCAAATCTTGGCAATCTCTGTCAAAGCAGACTGTGTGGTCTGTAATTTGTTAATTTCACTCTGTTTCACTAATCCCTCCAAGAAGTCTCTCAGACATTCCCTACCCTCTGCCACCCATTTCATCATCTCCCATTCCCTCCAACCCCCAAAAACCTAATTGTGGCAATGAAGTGAATTTTATGTGTCAACTTGATTGGGTTAAGGAATATCCAGAAAGCTGGGGAAACATTACTTCTGGCTGTGCTTGTGACGGTGTTTCTGGAAGAGATTAGCATTTGAATCGGTAGACTGAGTGAAAGATCTGCCATCACCAATGTGGGCAGGCATCATCTAATCCTTTGAGGGCCTGCCTCAATAGGACAAAAAAGACAAAAGAAGGGCAAATTTACTTTCTTCTTGAGCTGGGACTTCCATCTTCTCCAGCCATCTGACATCAGAGCTCCTGGTTCTTGGGCCTTTGGACTCCAGGACTTATACCAGCATCCCCATACTCCATTCTCAGGCCTTGGGCTGGGATTTACACCATAGGCTCCCATGTGTCTCAGGCCTTTGAACGGAGACTGAATTACACCACAGGCTTTCCTTATTCACCAACTTGGAGAAGGCAGATCTTGGGTCTACAAGGTCACTTGAGCTAATTCCCATATTATCCTCTTATCTATCATCTATCTAGCTATCTAAATCTATCTATCTATCTGGGTTAAAAAGGTAAGCTGAGGCACAATAAAATATTAAAGAGTTTATTTGAGCAAATATCAATTCATGAATTGGGCAACTCCAAACCAGAAGTGGTTTGGGAACTCCACCAAGGGAACCCAAGGAGAAGGCTTTTTTTTTAAATTTGAAATGTAACTGATGATAAATATTTGTGGAGTACAGAGTTGATTATCAGTATTTGTGCAAATATCAATTCATGAATTGGGCAACTCCAAACCAGAAGTGGTTTGGGAACTCCACCAAGGGAACCCAAGGAGAAGGCTTTTTTTTTAAATTTGAAATGTAACTGATGATAAATATTTGTGGAGTACAGAGTTGATTATCAGTATTTGTGTACAACGTGTGATGATCAAATCAGGATAGTCAGTATATTTGTCATTACAAAATGTACTCATTCTTTTAACCAATTTCTCTCTAACCCCCTCCCCCTCTCACTTTCCTCCCTCTAATAATCAAAGTTCTGTTCTCTCCTTCTGAACGTTCAAATTATCATTGTGTCCTTCCTTCTTTCCTTTCTTTGCTTCCCCATATGAGCAAGGACATGTGGTATTTCTTTTTCTGTGCCTGGCTTATTTCACTTAACATGCTTATCTCCAAGTTCATCCATGTTGTTGTGAATGGCAGAATTTCATTCCTTTTTATGGCTTAGTAGTGTTTCATTATGTATATATACCACATTTTCTTTATTCAGTCATCATTGATGGACATTTAGGTTGGTTCCATATCTTGGCTATGGTAAATAGAGCTGTGATAAACATAGGAGGTTTTCCTTCAACATGATGATTTCCATTCCTTTGCATATATACCCAGTAGTGAGATTGCTGGATCATATGGTAGTCCTAGTTGTAGTTGTTTGAGAAACAACCATACTGTTTTCCATAAACACTGCATTCCAAGGGGATGCCTTTTATAGGAGGAATACAAAAGTAAAACAAAGAAAATATTTGATTGGTTACAGTTTATACAGTTGCTTTATTTGGTATATTATACCTTTGGAAAGTCCCTAGCTTTACATAAGTTTGTTGCTTGCTTCTGATTGGTTGAGCTTAAGTTCTGGTTTTTTTTAATATATGCATTTACAATAAATAGCTCAAGTATCACTTATGTTTGCAAATCAAGCAAGGTTAACTTATGAGGCCTAACTGTCTTTGTCTACTCAGGAATTCTTCAGTCCCGGTCTCCATTTTAATTTATTTAACAATATCTATATTCTATTGGTTTTGTTTCTCTGGAGAACCCTGACTAATACACTGGTCTACTAGAGATATATATATATTAACTTCAAGGGCTGCTATAATACATTAACACAAACTGGTGGCTTAAAACAACAGAAATTTATTCTCTTACAGTTCTAAGGCCAGAAATCTGAAATCAAGGTGTCAGCACGGCTGTACTTCCTCTGTAGGATCTAAGGAAGAAGTTGTTCACAGCCTCCTGCAGCTTCTGGAGGCTTTCACATTCCTTGATTTGTGGCCACATTACTCCAGTCTCTGCCTCCATGGTCACACTGCTTCCTCCTCTTCTCTGTGTCTTCTGTCTGTCACATAAGGATACATATCATTGGATTTATGGCCCACCAGATAATACAGGATGATCTCAAGATCCTTAACCTAAATCCATCTGCAAAGACCTTTTTTCCAGATAAGACTTATGCCTCTACGTTAAGTACTTCTTTGGCAAATTCAATGTATTCCTTTGTTACAGTTACTGTTTTTGGAATTTCCCTTTCTTTGGGGCAAATTAATATGACTTCAATAGGGAGGGAAGCTGCTTAGTCAAAAGCAAATAATTCAGAATTTAAGATTCTTACTTTTCATTCTGAAGACAGACATTTTAGCCATGTTTAGTGTTCTGGGGCCTACCTTGTTTCCCATAATTCCTCAAAGATGGGGACCATTGTTCTCAGATCTCATTTGTACTTTACCCCCTAAAGCCTGGAGTTTAAATCATTCATAGCAAGTGATGTAATCTAAATTCAAACTGTTAAGTACATTCTTAGAATTTCTTCCCCTATTTGGGAACAGTATTGATTTCTGTCAACATTTATACTACAGTTTTGAGTAGTAAGTTGCTATTTATTGAGTTACTACTGTGAGCCTAGCTTAGTGTTTTAAATGTGTTTCTTCCATTACTCAGAACAATTTTGTTCTGAGTAAAGAAAGATATAGTTGTCTCCATTTTACATCCGGGATAAAGGAGACACAAAATAATATAACTACTAAGTATTGTCAAAAGACAAAATTACAACAAATTTAGTTTAAAGATCTTAATTGTTTTTTATGTGCAATTCGAATGCCAGGCAACACCTCATTATATAAAATAGAATGAGTATTCTGATGAGCCGAACAGAGGAATTTGGCTGTATAGACAGAAAACAGCTGAGGAGAGCAGAAATGGAGAACAAAAAGTGGATTGGCCTTTTCAAAGTTACTTTTTCCTTATAATGGTTGAAGCAGAGGGAACTTTTTCATCATGCTGGCTAAAACTAGCCAGTGTGGGGATTTGACTATTATCTCTTTCTCTCTTGATTTCTTGGAAGGTCAGATAAACAACTTAGTTTCACTTTGGTGATGTGGAACTTTAGCATAACTGACTCCATTTTGGTTTGGTCTATTGGAGGCTACTGCAGGAGCTCAGTTCAAAACAATGGCCTCCCATAAAGTTTGTTTAACAATGTTGAAACAGATAATTAAACACAGGTTTGCCTGACCTTACAAACATATGTTCTTTCCATTATGTCAATCTACTTCTCAAATTTCTTTTTGTACAGAATGAAGCAAAATAGTAGTTAGGGAATTCTGCTTTCTCTGTTAGTTCTAACCGTACACCAGAAGCTGCAAGTGTGCTTTTACCTTCCTTGATCATCTTCTGCCTCTGAACAGAATTTTAAAAAGCCCATTCTTTGTCCTCTCTTAGCATTTTTTTGCAAGTCTCACCTCATTTGGTGGCTTCAGGTTTCTTGACACTATCCTTTAGGGTCCATGTTACTTTCTTATAATTATCCTTGGTATGTGGTTGTTTTCTCCCAAGGTTTCTGTCACTTCCAATTAGCCAAGCAATTCTTCCTTGTTGGTCAGAATTAGGTTCCCCAGTTGCTCTGCTGGAACACTAAATCATGAGAAAGACAAGTCAAAAACTTTTCAGATATTTTGATTTTAGCCCAGTGAAACTTTTAAAAGATGTCCAGCTATTTGAATTTTCTTTTTTGATTATTGCATTGCTATAGGTATTTACAAATAATATACTATAGGGAACTGTGGTATCAACAACGAATTCTTTTTTGAAGAACCGCATGTGGCAGTACATGTCTGAATCCTGTTTTAAACCCCTTAAATAAAACTCTGTACAGCAGTTCCACACTTCTCATTGTCTACAGGTACATCTGGTTATTCTAATACATTCTGATTTCTCATCTCCCACTCAAGTTCACTGCATGAAGAAATATTTTTTATTTCTAATAAACTAATTTATTTGCATATCACACTTTTAGAGTAATCCCAAACCAGAAAATGGGAGGTGGGGTGGGAAATATCACCTCTTTGAAGTAAATAATATGTCACTAAGTCTATGAATTAAGATTATAAAGCAGAGGACCATGAATTCAGATGGAAAAAATATTATACCTTAATTTTGCTAACTTCTAAGCAAAATTTAGCATTTCTTTCTATTATGAATATAGGCGATAAACCACAGTTTTATTAGAAGTACTGGTGACTTTCATCTATAAAAATCACAAATATTTTCTTGTCACATCCCTACAGTTGTAGACATCTCAAGATACAATTGGTGTTCATTACTTCAAAATTATAGATATTATTATACCCTCTGCTAGATTTTGCTACTTAATGCATTAATGAAAAAACACATGTATAGTGCACATTTATTAAATATTTTGACTACTGTATTTTATTGTTTTTGGCGGTTGGCCAGTATGGGGATCAAAACCCTTGATGCTGGTGTTATAACACCACACTCTAACCAAAGTGACCTAACTGGCCAGGCTGATTACCATATTTTAGTATTACTGGTTTCATTTATAATCCTATGCTTATATTTTATGCACATTATTCTAAAAAGAGCTCCATAGGCTTCACCAGACTACCAAAGGGATCCATGGCATGAAAAAAGGTTAAGAACATCTATCTTGTATTTTGGCATTGTGGTTAAGAGTATGTAGTCTGGTGTCACATTGCCTGGGTTCAAATTTTGCTTTGTCACATATGATATGACTTTGGCTAAGTTATTTATACTCCTTTTGCCTCAAATTCTTCATGTATATAATGGAGATAATATTACCTACTTAAAAGCCTTGCTATAAAGATGAAGTAATATCTGTAAAGAGCTGAACACAATGCCAGACACATTATATGTTATTTATCTCCACATCTACTCAGATGATAAAGGTTTCATTGAGATCCTATTTATATTTATCCTACATAGTTTTTTTAAAACTGTGTCATCACTGGTTAAAATTTAAAATTATATCATGAAATATTGACTACTCATGTTTCAAATGAATATTTATAAAATAAATGTATGATGTGAGGAAGAATGCTACAATGAAGACCCATATAGCCTCTGTATTAGTTTCTGTTGCTTATAACAAAATACCCAGAACTGGCTAATTTGTAAGAAAAAAAAATTATGGCTTACAATTTTGGAGGCTGGGAAATCCAAAGTCCAGGGAACACATCTGGTGAAGGCCTTCTTTGGTGGTGACTTCAGTGACACAGGGTATCACATTGCAATATGGCGGAGCAGAGAGAAAGTCAGCTCCTCACGTATTCTCCTTTTAAAGCCCTCAGAACCATGCCCATGACCAGCATTAAACCATCAACTTATTATTCCATTTACTAAGACATGGTCCTCTCAATGTAATTACCTCTTCAAGGCCCCACGTTTCAATTACCAGAATAGTATTTCCTACCCTCTTAACACTGTCACAGTGAAGGTTAAGTTTCTACTACATGGATATTGGGGAACATAATTCAATCCAAGTCACCCTCCATCCAGTTTAAGGGGGAAAATTACTTTAAAAAGAATGAACATATAATTTATTATCTCAAGCATGATGTTTTTTTGAGTGAGAGTGCTAGTTGTCATTATACTAAGAAAATTAGTAAACAATACTGCACCGGGCAAACCAGGACTGACTGGCTAAACCAACATCTAATCAACAAACTCTTAAGCTCCTTGTGTGACCCGCTTTATTTTCCATCCCCTTCCCTCTATAGAGAAAATCCCTATCTTGAATTTTGTGGTTACTATTCTTTTGCTTTAATTTATAGATTTACTTCTTATGTTTCTAATCTTAAGGTATTGTTTAATCGGTTTCTTAATTTATATATGTGGAACCTACTGTAACATCCTTCGGTAAATTGCATTTTTGCTCAGCATTTTGTTAATGAGATTTATCCATGTCCATGGACTTGTAATTTATTTTTTCCATTGCTATATTCTACTGCATTAGTGTACACAATGTATTTAACCACTCTACTATTAATGGACAGTGGGATTGTTCCAGTTTTTACTGTTATAAATAATACGGTTATGAATTTTCTTGCTCATGTCTCCTGGTACACATTTTCCTGGGCCATTAAAGATGTGCATATTCAAGTTTACTAGATAATGACAAATTGTTTTCCAAATTGATTACATCAATTTACACTGCAACCAGTAATATTTAAATGTTCTGGTGACATTGTCAGACTTCAAAATTTTTGCTTGTGTGGTGGGTGTGAAATGGTATTTCTTTGTGGTTGGGTATCTCTTGAGGTTTTTCTCCTCTACAAATTGCCTATTTGGGATGGAGGTGGGGTGGAGAGCATTATCTGTTTTCTTTTTTATTGAATTATAATAGTTCTTTACACAATCTGAATACTAACCCTTTTGCCAATAATATGTGTTGCAAAGATCTCCCAGTTTGTGACTTGTCTTTTACTCTCCCTATGGTGTCCTTTTTTTTAATTGTAGAAAATGCTAAAACATATGTAAAAGTATGCAGAATAGAATGATAAGCTCCCATTTACCTATTACTTAGCTTCAACAATTATCCACTCATAACCAGTCTTGCTTCATTTATACTGCCATCTACTTTCTCCATCTCTTATTATTTTAAAGTATATTCCAGACATTATATCATTACATCTGTAAAAATTTTAATATGTATCTCTAAAAGATAAAGAATCTTTAAAAAATATGGCTGGCCAGTTGGCTCAGTTGGTTAGAGCATGGTGTTATGACACCAAGGTCAAAGGGTTCAGATCCCTGTACTGGCCAGCCACTGAAAAAAGATAAAAAAAAAAAAACCCACCCCAAAACCTCAAAACAATAAAAATTACTATGATCACACAAAAAGTAATTTATAATAACTGCATACTATCATCAAATATTCAGTAAGCATTCAAATTTCTATCATAAATATGACTTTTTAAAACACATTTGTTTGAATCATAATCCAGATAAAATCCTGCAATAGCTAACCTCCAAAATGGCACCCAATGATCCATACCCATTTGGTATTCACACCCTTGTGTATTACCCTCACATTGTGTCTGTGGTGGTCTGTGTGATGATATGTCACTGTTGAGGCTAGGTCAAAAGGACATAAAAGACATGATAGCTTCTGCCTTTCTTTCTCTCTTGTAATACTTGTTTTAGTGGGAGACAGGGACTGCTATGGAGAGGCATATATAGTGAGAAAGTGAGGTATTCTGCCAAACAGCCACTTAGAACTAATGTATCCTGCCAACAGCCATGTGAGTAAGACATCGTGAAAGTGGATCCTTTAGTACTAGTTAAGCCATCAGATGATTGCAGCCTCAGCTGACATTTTGACTGATATTTCACAAGAGACCTGGAGGAGTTAGTGAAAGTTTGAGAAGCCCTGAAGAAATTGTTTGTAGATGTATGATAACCTTTAAGGAGGTCAAAGGCAAGGTCTTAACAGATTAGAAAAGTCTCATTGGAAACTGGAAGAAAAGTGGCTCTTGTTACATAGTGGCAGAAAGTTTAGCAAATTTGTTACCTGCAGTTATGTACAAGGTAGGAAACGTACCTAAGGAACTGAGTGATCTAGCTAAGGAGACTTCCTGACAGAATGCTAAAGATGTCACCTGGTTTCTTCCTCTTGCCTCTAGTATGTGTGAGGAGTTACGTTAAAGGAAGGACTGGTATATTAGTCTGTGTTCCTATAACAGAAATACCTGAGACTGGGTAATTAAGAGGCTCATTTGGCTTACAATTCTGTGACAGCTGCATCGTGCATGGGCCTCAGGCTGCTTCTACTCATGGCGGAAAGTGGCAGGCACCTGGCAGGTACAAGTAGATCACATGGTGAGAGGAAGCAAGAGAGAGAGAGGAGGTGCCAGGGTCTTTTAAACAATCAGCTCTCGTGGGAACTAATAGAGTGAGAACTCACTCATTAATCCCCCCACCCAGGGAGAGCATTAATCCATTCATGAGGGATCCGCCTCTGTGACTCAAACAGATTCCAGCACTGCCACATTGAGGATCAGATTTCCACATGAGTTTTGGTGGAGACAATACATCCAAACTCTGTCAACTGGTAAGCAAAAAAAGAGGCAGAACTTGCTGGATTTCAAGATTCCCAGCCTCTTCAGATGACACATGATGTTAGGAAATGTCTCTGAGCAAAGAACAAATCCAGGGTATTGCTAGGAAAACATAAAGTTGGAGGTAGAGTTGTAAAGTTCTTTAAGACCTCGGAAAGATCTAAAGTAAGCCTCAGAGTATTTTCTTTTTCCCCATTTTCTTTTGGTGGCTGGCCAGTACTGGGATCTGAACCTGTGATCTTGATGTTATAAGGCTATATTCTAACCAACTGAGCTAACCACCCAGCCCTCTGAGAATACTTTCATTCAGACATAAAGGGTGTGCCTCAGAAAATTTCTAAGTCCAATCACAGGTTTCTAAATTTAAAGGTGTTCACAACAGTGAAAGCTTGAAGTAGAGAAGAGTTTTATATAGAAGAGATTTGCAGGTGTTGTTTTGGTCTAATAAACTCAAATAAAATTCACAGGAGACCCACAAAGTTTTCAGAATTATATTGGCAGAAACTGCCAGCCCGGACTGAAAGGGACAGAGTACCAAATGAAAAGAGGCTTGTGGACACCCAAGCTTCTATTGGCAGAGAGCATGCAGAGCTGTAAACATGGAAAAGGAAGAATGACTCAGTGAGTAGATCCAAGAGCCCAGAAGGCAGAGCTAAGAGTCATGGAGAATTACTTCTAGGACTTCAGTCCTAAACAAGGAACTGCCAGTCTGTGCCCAGGTAAATGAATTGCGGGATTTCTGTCAATCTGTGTACCTTCAGTTTCCTCCCTTTTAAAATAAACATGTCCACAGTGATTATCTTTTTTCTATTAAGTTTTTGGGGACAAATACTGTGTCTTTAGTTTATAGTAGTCTTCAGATCAAAAGAACTCTATTTGAGGAGTTGTACTTACAGAAGTATACCTGAAGTGTATTGTCCACATCTGAACCTGGTTTAAATTTCTAGAATAGAACTAATGCTCTAATGGATGAGAGTTTTTGGAGGGGATGAATGGATTTTACTTATCAAGGAGTGTGAATCATTAGAAGTCAAATTGTGATAGCCAGCCTTCTAATTTTCATGCTCTTGTGTAGTCCTTTCCCACATTATATCAGGGATTGTGTGTGACTAACAGTATACAGTAGAAATAATGGTATATCACTTTGAGTGATTGTGGTTTGTCTCTCTCAGATCACTTGCCCTGGGGAAAGCCAGTTGCCATGCTGTGAGGAAACTCAGGCAGCCCTGTGAATGAGCCACCTAGGAAGCAGATCCTCTATCACCAGTCAAGCCTTCAAAAGACTATAGTTCAGCTAACAGCTCGACTGCAAATTCATGAGAGAGCCTGAGCCAGAACAGCTAGTTAAGCCACTACAGGATCCCTGACTTTTAGAAACTGTATGAGACAAATATTTTTAGTTTTAGGCTTAGGGTAGTTTGTAATGCAGCAATAGAAAACTAATAAGAGTTCACATGTTGCTTCATATGTCTTTTAAGTCTCTTTTAAATTAGTTTTCTCCACCTTGAACTTCTCCTTCTCCCCATCTCTCTCTTGCAACATATTTCTTGAAGTTAATTTGTCCCAAGATTTTCTGATTGGATTTTCCTCATTTGAACAGGCATGTTGTTTAACATGTTTTTGATATTTCCTGTAAATTGGCAGATGGATCTAAAACCCAATTAGTGTTAGGTTCACTTTTGGGGGGGAAGATTTTTAATCAGGGGTGGTGTTTTTCATTAAGAAGCATGTAACGTTTTTCTGTTTGTCATGATAGCAGCTGTTGATGTACAATGAATAAGTCCATTTATTTATTAGGAATTTCAAAATGGCAATTTTCTAATTCCTCCTTCATTAGCTGAAATACATGTATAAAGAGAAACTTCCCATCATCTACCATTTGGTTACCTACAGCTCATATAGGAAAGGCAGGATAAATGCTTAATTACCTTTTTTCTCGTTCTCAAAATAATGAATTGATTCCATAGCATCGTCTAATGTTGACCAACTAGATGTTTCTTGTTGGTTTTACTATCATTAAGAACTCACGGATTTAAAAACATTTGATATGTTCCAATCCCATGGCATTTAGTGTCCTTTTGATACTGAAATTGTCGTTTGACATTCTTTGGCCACTGGGATGCTTTTCAGCTGTCTTGAGTCCATTTGACATGACCCTAAGCAGTCTATGATGGTTTCCTTGCTATCTTGTACAAAAAAATATTCCAGGCTCATCTTGTGCATTTCCTGAGCCTTACTGAAATCAGCCACTACTCCAAGCATTTATGGTGTCTTTTGAGCAGCAGTTTTTAATTTTAATGTGTTTAAATATGTTACCATTTTCTTTATAGATTTTACATTCCCTACCACAATATCATACAGATATTCTATCTTGACTTGTATAGGTTTAATAGGTTTTCCTTTCATAACTAAATTTTAAATCACTTGAAACTGCTCTTTCCCACTGCTACTGAGTTGGGTGGAGGTGGAGGCTCAGGCTCGGATACATTCAAGATTCAGCTTCACCCATAACTCATCGCCATGGCCAAGTAAGGCATTGCTGCTGGTGGTGTAATTAACATGAACACTGCTTTACAAGAGGTGCTGAAGACTGCCCTCACTCCTGATGGCCTAGCACATGGAATTCATGAAGCTGCCAAAGCCCAGACAAGCGCCAAGACCATCTCTGTGCTTGCATCCAACTGTGATGAGCCTGTGTATGTCAAGTTGGTGAAGTCCCTTTGTGCTGAACACCAAATCAACCTAATTAAGGTTGATGACAAGAAAAACCAAAGGGACTGGCTAGGCCTCTAAAAATGACAGAGAGGGAAAACCCCATAAGGTGGTTGGTTGCAGTTCTGTACTAGTTAAGGACTATGGCAAAGAATCTCAGGACAAGAATGTAACCAAACAGTATTCTTCTAAGTGCAAGAAATAAAATAAAAAATATGTTGTTAGAGCAGTGCTGATAACACCAAGATCTTTTGGAGGTGATAAAAATGTTCTAAAACTGAAAATCGTTTGTGTGTAGTTAAAATATTTATTTCTACTTTTAATAATGATGGACTAGGTAAAATTTAGATTAGTCATCTGAGAACAACTAGAAAAGCTGGACAAAATATAAAACAAAGACCTGAAGTTATTAGAGAACTAATGAGGCAGTGAGTAACCCACAAGAAAAATACAGAGTTGTTAAGTCCAGTATTTATGAAAGCTTTTCCTCTGGGGCATCTGTTGATTCTTGAAAAGATGGCTGGGAAGCTGTACAGAGTTTCTAACTCATGGAGTTTACAGCACGGGGCTGGCCCGTGGCTCACTCGGGAGAGTGCGGTGCTGATAACACCAAGGCCACGGGTTCGGATCCCACATAGGGATGGCCGGTTCGCTCACTGGCTGAGCGTGGTGATGACAACACCAAGTCAAGGGTTAAGATCCCCTTACCGGTCATCTTTAAAAAAAAAAAAGAAAGTCTGCTCTGGTAAGCTCTGCAGGCTTTGAGTTGGGACTTCACAGGTATATACCCTGAGAGAAAGTATAAACTGGAAGTATACCTGCCCAGATTCTAATCATCTCAATCACTTACTGGATTAAAATGATCTTGGAATACTAGTGCCAAAGCCCCTGCCAGGAGACATAAATCCTTTCTGTAGAAAATACCATCATATTGGACCTCAAAGTATAATTTCTTCATATAAAATTCAATCAAAATATTTTTGACATTCAATCAAAAATAACATAAACAAAATAAAATTAAATGTAAATAATGTAAAAATAACACAACATAAAGGTAAATAAAAGACATCAAAGTAAGAAATGATAAACAACAACAAAGAAACAAGAGAAGCTTCAGATAATACCACCCCCATAGTTATTAGACACAGACTTTAAAATAACTTTGATTAATATGTTTGAAAAAAGAAACAATCAGATTTTAACATATAAAAAAAATACTGAACTGAAAGGTAAAATGAACTATCCAGAATGAAACATAGACAAATGAATGGAAAAACGTAAGGATTAAAGTAAAATAGTATAACACACATATAAGTGGAGTACCAGAAGAGGAGAAAGAAGAGAGTGGAAATGAAGGAATATAATCCCAGACTTATGATTTTTTGACTTTAAGATGAAATACTCATTCAGTGGAAACTGAACTTTGAATATCCATCAATTTCATTTACTAATTTACTGATGGGTTGTAACCATGGATTCTGTTTATCACTTTCAGTACAGTATTCAATAAATTACATTGGATATACTACACTTTATTACAAAATAGGATTTGCATTAGATGATTTTGCCCAACTGGAGGCTAATGTAAGTACTCTGAGCACGTTTAAGGCTAAACTATAATGTTTAGTAGGTTAGGTGAATTAAATGCCTTTTCGACTTATCATGGGTTTATGAGGACGTAACTACCTCATAAGTCAAGGGCATCTGCATCTGATGAGATAAGAAGCTGAGAATATTCCAAAACAGTCTAAGGACAGCAGATCCAAATTCAAGAAGCATTACAAACCTCAAAAGGAAAAAAAAAGACAAAAACAGAAAACAAAGAAAATAACATGAAGGTACATCAAACTTAAGTCAAACATCTTAAAAGCAGCCAGAGGGTAAAAGAGATTATCTTTAAAAAGGCAAAAATAAAGCTAACATTATTTCTTAGAAGAAATAATGGAAGCCAGAAACCATGGAATGTATTTTCAAAATAATAAAGTAGTCAGCAAAAAGGTTCTTTGAAAATGAAAGCAAAATAGGCAGTTTCAGGATACAAAAACTGAGAGAACTTGTCACCAACAGATACCCACAAAAGGAAATATTAAAGCATGTCCCTCAGAAAGAAGAAATATGATCCCAGATGGCAGTTCAGATTCAAGGAGTCACAAAGTAACAGAAAACAGAAAAAGTAAATGTTTGGGTAAATGTAAGCACACATTAATTATATAAAAATAACAATGTCTTAAGAAATACACCCAAGGGCCGGCCCCGTGGCTCACTCGCAAGAGTGTGGCTCTGGGAGCGCAGTGGCGCTCCCGCCACGGGTTCAGATCCTATATAGGGATGGCTGGTGCGCTCACTGGCTGAGTGTGGTGCGGACAACACCAAGCCAAGGGTTGCGATCCCCTTACTGGTCACACACACACAAAAAAAAAGGAAAAAAGAAAAAAAAAAAGAAAGAAAAAAAGAAATAGACCCAATACCAGCCAGCTGCAAAAAAACCCAAACATTCAGGAAATATATATTAAGAATAAACAATCACTATAACATGGGGTGGGTGTAATGGATTGATTGTCCCCCCCAAAACTTGTTGGAAGCTTGAATTGTGTCCCCCAAGTTTTATGTAATAGAAACTCGGTCCCCACTTTGACTGTTAAGAGGGTGGGAAATCCTATTATGGTTATTGAAAGGCGGGGCCTTGAAGAATGATTAGATTACAGGACCATGCCATAGTGAATGGATTAATGATGGTGGTCAGGGGTGTGGTTCTGAGGACTTTAAGAGTGCATGAGGAACTATTTTCCTCCCTCTGCTCCATCATTTTCACAATGTGATACTCTGCCATCACTGTTGCCACCACCAAGGCTCTTACCAGATATGTTCCCTGGACTTTGGACTTCCCAGCCTCAGAAGCTGTAAACAATAAATTTTATTTTCTTTATAAATACCCAGTTCTGTGTATTATGTTATAAGCAACAGAAACAGACTAATACAGTGGGGTGGTAAATTAGTAACTGAAATTGGTGTATTCTCAGGTGGTTACATTGTCCAGGAAGAGGTACAATACTAAATTATCTTAGAACTTGATATACCAAAGTTCCATGTTGTAATACCTAAGGCAAACACTAAAAAGAGTACTAAAAAATATATAACTGTCAAGCTTACAGGGTAGAAGAAATAGAATTAAAAATAATCAGTCTAGAAGAAGACAAAAGAAGAGAAAATAAACATAGGAGAGGTGAGATAAATATTTTTAAAAAAGGTAAATAGTATATATTTTGGTTTCTTTTTACTCTCCGCACTCAGGATTTCTTTCATGTCAAAGCAATCATACTGGGCCCAATTTTACATCCTGCTTCTAGTTCAGGCTTCTATAACAAAACTACCATAAACTGGGTGACTTAAACAACAGAAATTTATTTCACAAAGTTCTGGAGCTAGGAAATCAAGAGATCAGAGTGCCCCGATGATTGGGTTCTGGTGAGAACCCTCTTCCTGGTTTGCAGATGTCTATCTTCTTGCTGTGTCCTCACATGGTGAAGAGCAGAGCGAGGGAAGCAATCTCTCTATTGTCTCTTGCAAAGGTATTAATTCCATCATAAGAGCTCCACCCTCACAACTTAATCACCTCTCAAAGATTCCACCTACTAATACCACACCATTGGGGCTTACGGCATAAAATGCTCTTTTAACTTAGAAAATAAACATTTACCATTAGAAAGACAATTGACTTTTTAAAATATCTAGATAATATTCGACTTAATCACCTCTCAAAGATTCCACCTACTAATACCACACCATTGGGGCTTACGGCATAAAATGCTCTTTTAACGTAGAAAATAAACATTTACCATTAGAAAGACAATTGACTTTTTAAAATATCTAGATAATATTCCACTCAGCTTACATGACAGAATTTGACCAATCTCTTACTGTTGTACATAAGAATGTTGCTAACTTTTTACCATTATAAGTACTGCTACAAGTAACATCTTTGTTCATAAAGCATTTTAAAGGCAATTTAACTAACATGATTTTGTTCACAACATTCATTTGAATGGTACTATACTTGGGCCGGCCTGTGGTTCACTCGGGAGAGTGTGGTGCTGATAACATCAAGGCCACAGGTTTGGATCCCATATAGGGATGGCCGGTTAGCTCACTGGGTGAGCATGGTGCTGACATCACCAAGGGTTAAGATCCCCTACCGGTCATCTTTAAAAAAATAATAATAATAAAATAAATAAATAAATGGTACTATACTTAACAGGAGGGTGGGAGAAACAGAACAAAAACAAGGTCCCAACTCTCTAGGCATTTATAGTCTGATTAGAAAAACAATACACATTAGGGAAAAAAAAAAGAAAAAAACAATTACAAAGAAAGCATATAATAATCATACTTATTTTTTTAAAAAGGCAGCAGAAATTTCTTAAGAGAGGAAACTAATAAGAACATTTTGCAAAATATATGGACATATGTATGGGTTCTGGAAAAGGAGGTAGGTTTTGTTGTTGTCTTAAGTATCTGAAAACAATTCTCCTCAGAACATTTCAATTCATCACAAAGCCCTAATGGTAAGCAACCAAGACTTTTCTCAAAGATTGCACTCCTAACTCCTTTGCCAAAACTGTTGAATTTCTTTTTAATCTCCATCATACACATTTTTTTCCCTTTCGTTATTCTCCCCTTTCTGTGTATTTTTGTCAAAGCTCTCCACCTATTTTAAGTAACAGAAACAGACAAATTCCTTTATTTCAAGGTAAGTAACCAAAAAAAAAAAAAATACACACACAAACACACATACATATGTATATTTACACACACACACATTATTCTACAGGGTAAAAAAGACTGGGCAACACTGCCATATAACATATATGCATTTTAATCATTAAAATACATTACTTATATAACATTTTTCACACTATAATAGATCTCTATTATAACTGTCTAAAATATAAACATCAAATGATATTAACTAAGGGTTATTTATCAACTTGTCATACACCAAATAAGGAATAGAAAACCCCTTGATCTATTAAAAATGATAAGCAGATAACAAAAACTGATTTTTTGGATTTACTCCGGCAGGAATAAATGGATTCCATCCTGATAATAATTCCAGTCTTACTATAACATAGGAGATGCTTTGTGAAGCTCAGTAAGGCTGCCGGATGTAAGAACCAGTGTCAGAAATGAAAGAGTAAAACTTAACAGGATGTGTCCTCACTTACAGACTAAAAGACACCTTCCTCCTCCACCTTTTCTACCTCAAGGACAGATACACAGGAAGATAACTCCAATCCCTCTCTACCACACTTAGCATCTGCAGATGCCCTGGCACTTGTCTATTTACAAACCTGTTCCTATACAGCAGAAGAGAAGTTTTGGACTCACCCTCCGCAGGATCTGTTTCACAAACTATTGCCAAGCCCTACCGCAACTACTGTTTCTGTCAACACTTATGACACCTGCATTTTTAATTTTCACGCTATTCACCACCCCCAAAACAAAATTTAAAGTAAAAACAACAACAACAACAAAAAACATAACCCATACACCCAGTCTCTGTTCCCCTAATATAAACATCTGCAATACGTACACTTCTTTTGGATGGCTCAGAACTCTGATTCTCAAGGGCCTTTGGGCCATTTATAGCTTCAATATCATTCCCTACAAGTACTTTGACAAGGAGAGTGAAACTTAATATCCATTGCCAACCCCTTGCCTGCCCAAGCTTCTTAACTTCCGAAGCTTTCTACTTTTCCTCCCCAAGTCCAACATCATGACAAAATTTGACACTATGGCAAAAAGAGAACTCATGGATGAAATTACAGACAGCCACCACTTAAGTAAGGACCTCCCAATCATGAGATCATTTCTGGGTTGAAGGTGCTCTGTATATCCATTTCAAGCCTGCTTCTAGTATTATGTTTCATTATAATCAAATAAAAAGGCAGAAAGGGTTGACTGGTACAGGTTTTGGGGAAAAACAAAAACAAAAACAAAAAACTAAGAGGTATATATGGGAGCTTCATTTCTTTCCATCTGATGCCAATTCTTTTTTTTTTTTTTTTTTTTTTTTTTAACTAAAAGGAAACCGTCAATATCGGAATGTATTTAAAAAGTAGAATTTTCTTCCTGGCTTCTCTGTTCTTGGTAGATGTCCTTCTGGCTTCAGCTGGTATCTGTAGATAGTGAAGAAACTCCTCAAAATCAAATTCTACGGTCCTGAGGGAGGGGAGGGCCGCAGGAACAGAAACGACAGAGGATCTATGGAGATGAGGAAAGTCTCCAAGAGAACGAGTCAGGAAAACGAAAGGGTAAAAAGAGAAAGGGCGTTGGTTAAGCTGAGACAATAACTGTATTGTTTCAGCACAAGCACAGCCTAACCGTGATCTTTACCATCACTAAATCCGCTGGGTCTGGGGTCAACTCCCACTCCAGCCATTTTTGCGCCTCCATCACCATCCAGAGGGATGATGCGCTCCGGCCGAAACCGCCCAACCTACCTCAGGATCCTCGCAGGCGCGGCAAGCGCACTCCGCCCGCCCACCTACCTGTGCTGCGCCTGCGCCTCGCCCGCGCGCTCCCAAGGTCAGTACCGCCCCCAGCCCCTAACATAGCACCCACGGAAATTGCTTTAAAGGACGTCCTGCGTATCTTCACCTCTGCGTGGCGTGGGGTCGCCGGCGCTCAGGAGAGAGGAGGGACTTCCTGTCCCGCGCGGGCAGAACTTCCGGCAGAGCCGGAAGACCCTTTACCTCGCGGTTTCCAGAGGCTCCTGGTAGCGGGACGCGGAGGGGAGGTCCGGGACGGTTCCGGCGGCTGCAAGGTGTCCTGTCCACGACCTGTCCTTGGCACCATGGTGAGTTCTTCTGTGAGGGCATGAGTGACAACAGTGGGGAGGAAAGGACTGGGGAGTCAGTCCTGTGAAGGGAGCTGGTCGGGTGCCGTGCTCAGAACGAAGCCGGCTGGAGCGCTGGGATGAGCCGCTGGGCAGGACCCACCACCTGCCCCGGAGAACTTCAGCTCCTGAGGAAGCAGCATCCGTCCTGCCAAGGCCGCGAGACTAGCGGGGTGGAGGGTGGGAGCGGATCTGTCAGGTAGTACGGAGTAGGTAGCCTGCCTTTTTCTGCTCCATTCACTGTGTGTGGCCCATGGCACCAGGTGGTCCCAGAGTTGACCTTGGGACCTCCTTCCTTTCACCTTATTCTGCCGTAGGGCAATGGCCAAGACCTTCAGATCTTAGAAACGCCGTTAGTCTCTTCAGGTAGACGCAACGGGTCACCTCATTGTAGAGGATCAGCACCTGTCACTTAAAGAAACGGCAGAGTAAGCTTGTCTTTCAAACTCAGACACTTCGGAATTGGAAGAGGTGTGAGAAAAAAATCAACATTTAGTATGGGCAGACTTTCCTGGAAAGGAATATTGCAAGGTCGTGGAGGATGAAACTACTGCAGTAGGGAGAATGCCTTGATCATAAGATCTACAAACCTCTCAAAGGTTAGGCAAAAAGGGGTTTTCTTTTCTAGGGAGGGTAAATAACGCTGGAAAGAACTGGATGTGGGATGGTGGATGAAAGGGTGGTATGATTTAACAATACCCAGAGAATATTTTACCCTGAGGCCATCCTTTTCTGTGGAGGAGCTGTTAAGTAGAGTTTATATTCTGTTTTGTGTTGAGGGTTGGCTAAAGTTCAGGGACTTAGGGGAAGAGAATCTTAAAGTTTGGTTAACACGCATTTTGTTGTAATTGATCTGTGGGGACAGATCAGCAAGTCATCTATGAATCAAAGAATGGGGATTTGGAGGGTCTAGGTCTGGCCTTGTCATAAGTAAGCAAGAGGGGTGGGCAACCATGAGTCTTATCCAGGTTTTATGAGGAACAGTGATTCTTTGCAGTAAGCTGTTTCAGGGGACACAAAAGGGTGGGGGAAATGTCTTAACCTTTGCTGTTTTTCAAGATCACAGAGCTCTGGTAAAATTCAACATTGTCAGTTACTTGACTGTATAAAAAATTTCAAACCCTCATCTGCAGGGGCTTCCCGTCTTGGAACTTAGCTTCAGTTTGCCATGCTTTTTCAGGGCCAAATGTTCGGTTATTGAATGACTTTTTGAAACTTGACAATATAAAACGAAGGCTTCCAAAATAGTGTAGTTCCTGATGCACTCTACCAGATAACCTATGTCTCTTTGAGCACTATGTTGGTGGGGGTTTTTTTGTTTTTAACTTCAGTGAGTGATATGGTTTGTATTCATTTAAGAGAGTTTTGTTTGGTTTTTCTTTTCATATCACTGAAATTGGACAAAGATAGGGAACAGTAGAACTGGAAGGAACCAAAGCCTAATCACGTCTGCCACCCCCACAACCCGCATCCAGTTTTACAGAAGGAAGAATCTGGGGGTCTAGAAACAGGCAGTGATTTACCAAAGGTAACAATAGTTTGGCACAGTCCGGACTAAAACTCAGATCTTTGCTTCTGTAATTTAAGCTTAATTTTTGGTTTCTTGGCCTGAAAAGCTGAAGATAGAGTGTAATTAAAAATCCTTAAATTCGTCATAATTATGGAGAAGCTCAATGTGACCTTGTTCCCAGTATTCTGGAATAGTAGAAAGAGAACACTTCTACTCCTGCCAGCTCAAAAAAGGTAGTTACGTTTTAAACTAATGCAATCTCATGCTATTTCTCAGAATGTCTCTTAAGAACTACCAAGGGGCCACATAGTTGGCTCTCTCCATTCTGGTATTATTTATATTTCTGAATTAGTTACTCAACTGCGTTTTGTTACACCTCTCGCTGTGTAACAGAGACGCAAAAGATTACTCAAAGCAACATGAATGTGATGAGAGCCCGAAAGGACTGTACCTCAGCAACTCCTCTGTTAGAAGGAGGAACTGGGTAGCAGTCCTGAGTTGGTTTTTGCTCCAATTTTTATTGAAAAGACAAGGAAATTACAGGAAAAGAATAGATGGTTAATCAATAATAGTAAGAACATACAGAAATTGGCTGTGTAACAATCTCCATCCAAGCATGCATGGTTCAAAATAGCTTAAACAATATACCAAAAAATGAGTCATACATCTAAGCTATGTAACATGC